TGGTACGCTGCTGCCACTGCCAGGGACAAGGGCAGGCTGCACTCCTAGAGGACTCTGAGGCGAGCAGGAAAGATTGCAGCTGACTCCTCCCACCCCGGACACAAACTGTTTCAGACTCTCCCCTCTGGCAGGGGGCTGCGGTCCATCAGGACCAAAACCTCTCGCCACAAAAACAGTTTCTTCCCGTCTGCAGCTAGTCTCATTAACAAGGCCCGGGTCCCCCACTGACACTCCCCCCTTGCAAATGATACAAATGTCTCTGCACATGTAAATACTGTTTCATTTCATACACAAACCTGGCATATTACACATAGTTGTTGTTATTTGTTAATCTTTGTTGTTCTATATTTTTATATTGTCAATTTATATATTTCGTTGCAATACATCTGCACTACAAAACCCAGAATAAATAGTTGTATATTCTGCAATCAGCTCCTTCTGATTCTGATTCTGAAATGAGATGATGCACAAGGGGAAAGTAAGGTCACTGAAGCTGCCAAAGATGCATCATTCCGAAAAGCTGACCATGTCAACTGTGCTTTTTTGTACAAATAAAATCCAATTGAAAAGAAACTGCAGTATAACGTGGCATTATTTTAGCCTTACAGATGTTACAAACTGCGAGCTGAGGCACAGCCTGTAAATTTGACCGACACAGAATCGGATATGAGACTGATCGGCCCCGGTCACCTGTCATGGCAGATCAAGCAAAAAAACTGTCAGATTCCAGTCAACAGCCGATCGATCGGTGCATCTCTACAAGAAATAGTTCCAGCACTGAACTCCACCGAAAATCACAAATTGTTCTTTGTACTTTTCCGTTTGTGTAGAGATCAAACTAAAGACTGTGTCTATCAGTGGGCTTTAGAGCTGTTGGTAGGAGTATTGTTGAACTATAGACAGAGCCAGGCTAGCTGTTTCCCCCTGCTTCCAGTCTTTATGCTATGCTAGGCTAACCACGTACGATTCGATTAATATCAATCTTACTAATCTCACTCTCGGAAAAAAGTGCATTACCCGCAATGTTGAACTGTTACATTAAACATTATTTTCTTTCTCTGATAGTATATATCATTCATGCTTAAAAAGTTTTCCCTCTGACTAGCTTTCATGACCTCATATGTGTCAGCTGCCATCTGAACTGCACTAAAAGTGCCATGAGGTGGTATAACAGCACATGTCGACACATATCAACACATGCCACTTCAACAAGAGTGGCATATCACGACTGCCATAAGGACCGCTACAATGAATGTCTATACACCTTCCAACCTCCACCCCTGGTCAGATCTGAGTCAGAGGCACAGAGAAGAATGGGTGGAAACCACAGCAGACCACAAGAATTTCATGGAATTGTCTCATTTTTCTACAAAACCTATGCCATCAGAACAATTTAAAAGATGAAACATTTTGCAGAGAGTGTCTTTTAAATCAGCAGTTCAACCAAGCAGCTCGTTTAAAATCTGAACCTGCAAACTGTTCCTTCGGTGGAAAGGATGCCTGTGAGGAGACTTGTCCTTCAACACTGGCAGTACTGTGGTGGTGCTGACGGTGACTGCCAGGGTGTGACACTGGATGATGAACTGTTCAGTAAACACGGCAGCAGTGACCTGCTCTTGTAGATTCCTGCTGTACACATTCAGTTCAACAGGGTGCTGGCCTACAGGGCGCTGAAGGCCTACAAGCCACGGTCAAACACCACACTCCGGCCGGGCCACTGTGCTGCGCTGCCTCATGCCAGGGTGAGGCAGCGCCTGACTAATATGAGGACCCCAAGACTCTTTCCTGGCCTCACAGTGGTGGAAGGATTCCACACTGAAGTCAGGACAGCAGAGTCACTGCCCATGCCCTTTGCGGAAAATTTGTTTTCTTCAGTAAAGGATTTGTCTTAGCGATAATAACTATTATTTATTATTATTATTTAGCATTTCATTTAGTTGCCCCATATTACTCCATAGTACACTTAAAGAAGTGGTATTCTGCTCATTTTCAGGTTCAAAATCTTATTTAGGGGTTGTACCAGAACAGGTTTACATGGTTTAATTTTCCAAAAACACCATATTTTTTGTCATACTGCACATTGCTGCAGCTCCTCTTTGCACCTTGTGTTGAATGCTTCGTTTTATCTAAGGAGTGATACATCTTTTCTCTAAATGACCTTTGTTGGGACTTAATAAGTTAAGGACTACTAGCCAATCAGAAGCAGAGAAGGGCGGGTCAATGAGAAGCCGGTAAATAACAATAATAATTATTATTATTTGTAGAGTACTTTTCAAAAACAAGTTAGTAAGTACGTGCTTTAACAAGTGTAAAGACTAATACAAAAAAAAAAACACGGTAAACACGCTTCGGTTCAGCTGTACATGTTGCCGACCAGCTTAGCAACACAAATGTAAATGTCCCATATTTATATTGCGTCTTTCTAGTCTTTTCAACCACTCAAAGCACTTTTACTGAATTGAAGCAAGAGTTTCAGAGTGGTGAGTTATTAATCTATAACAAATGTATCTTTCATCCATAAAGTTTTAACCGAGCTCTGCTGGACTACAAACGAGCTGTTTTCAGGCAGTTCAGAGCAGAGCTTTCTGTGGGAGATGGGAACTCACTTTGAGCGGGACATTTTTCACTTTGCAAACCAATTACAAGCACATATAACTCAATAAAGCCAAAAAGCATAATACCTCCTCTTTAATAGGTTCTTGAGACAAAAAAAAAAAGACAACTCAAAACAGCAGACCAGCAAAGCAATATCACAACATCCCCATGTGTGGGGGAGGTTTAATGCTTTCATTATAATCTCATAGAAATAGAGTGGGCAGAATGAGTTAACCAGTGAATGTTAATGGATTTTAAAAGTGCATCTAGTGAAAGTTAACCCCCCCCAAACACACACACACACACACACACACACACACTAGCCCTGGTCACAGCTGGAAGACTAGTCTGACAGCACTTTGACAGATGGTCCAATGAGACACTGGAGAGGGAGGGAGGGAGGACACAAGAGTTACAGGGAAGGATGGATGGAGGATGGAGAGGAGGGGACAATGCTAATGGATGCAGAAGTGTGTGTGTGTGTGTGTGTGTGTGTGTGTGTGTGTAGGAGGTCATCTGTTCCTGAAAGAATGAATATGAAGAATAAGAATAAGGGCTGTGAACCTCACGGGAGGAGAGTGGGGGCCCCGCAGTCTTGCTGACACTGCATTGGCACTTGCATGGATGTTCAGACACGTGTGTATTCAGACACAAAAACATAGGGCCTAGACTCCCTATATTTCATTTTGGGTAATTTGATCTTGTATTTTTTTTTACTATAATGAAGAATAAAGATCAACAACTAAACAAATTCCTTTAACATGACATGAGCATCCATTCATGATAAACGATGATAATTGGACCACGTGCACACAGCTTTATGATAGGTTAATGTTAATTATGTCCCAAAAAGTGTCTGTAGGCTACTACTCTGACTCTGATTGGTGCATATTACCATGAACGTAACATTGTTTGTAATGAAATTCAAGCTACATTCAATATGCAAGCAGAGACCCCGCCCCCACGGTGTCAGCCCAAAATACTCGCATTGTTACCACGCCCATTCCTCCAAGCCCCCTCGTGCAGGCTGCGCCCTTCCGAAACCGCCCCGTAAAAGCGGGCAAAGAGAGAAACGCTTTCGCTCAACGTCCGGTTGTAACTATCAAAATAAAGTTTGAATAAAGCGACATTCAATGCTTGGAGGAGAAAGTAAAGAAATTCTGGGAGGCTCACTATGTATTTATTGAAATACAATATATAGATATCATTTCATTTATCTGATGCTTTTATCCAAAGAGACTTACAACTGCCATACACAAAAACTAGGTGTTAAGGAATTGAACCCAGGTCTCTTACACCAAAGGCATGTGTCTTATCCACTGTTCCACCACCATGCAGAAATTTTTCTCTCTCTCTCTCTCTCACACACACAAAAAGCTAACTAGTTGCTTTAATCCTTCTGTCAGACTCAGAAGATGCTCTGCAGCTCAGCAATACCTTACCTTTAGTGTATTTAACCATTTTCCAAAGCAGTGTTAAAGACTGCCATAAGTTCGGACAATTTCAGGGCCATAAACAGGTTTTTACAAATATGGATGCCATGGTTGAAAGCTGCCACAACCCCTAAAAAGTTTCTATGATTTAAAAAAAATATGTATTCAAATTTTATTTTGAGATATTTTAGCAGTTACATTTTCTTTGAATTTAACAGAATTTTATCAAGGAGTTCTTACTGTGAAAATTAACTACTTGAATCAAACTAAAATAACTGTCAGAACTCTTACACTATACCTGATTACATACAGTCAAGTGTTACCATTTTAATTGCCAGCATGAAAATGCTCCTTTATTTGCCTCCTCACGCAGCTGAGAATGACAGTCTGGTTGTGAAATTGTGGATCCTGGTGGAAAATACTGCATCCAAAAATATTGCAATGAACTTCAAATGTGTACATTTTAAACTGTAAAAGTATACAGATTCTTAGGTCATTGGAAGATAAGATAAGATTTGAGTAGGCTGCCAAAGCACAGGTCCTGGATGTTGCTGAAAATCACCCAAAATACTAAAAAAGACAAACACTGACTTAACAAAATGGCTCGATCATTTTTATTACATCATTAAGACAGAATCTTCAAAACAACCCCATCTTCTTACCTGCATCTTAAGCTTGGCACGAAACATGGGAACTCATTATAAAATGTGTGTCCACTGTAAAGATGATTTTTAGCTATTGGGTTGAAATATGCAACATTAACAGTTGTGTATGCTCCTTTAAAGTTACAGTACAATATTGTTTCACCTGCTCTTCCTGCCTTATGACCCACAGAGCTCTAGTCGCAAATGTTGCAGAATAGTGTGAACAAAACAGATGATTTATTGTTCTTTTATTTTGATGGGAACACATAGTCTTCCTGTTATTCTGTTGCGAAATTTGACAGCTTGATGCAACTTCCTGAAAGATTGACAGCTTGTACCGCTCTCTTTAGTAGTGGAAACGATAGCTCCCGTTGTGTGAGAGACGCAATCACAACTCACATCGCCATCTGATTTTTGATTCTCGGATTTAATACTTTTAAAGAAGTTTACAAGGCGCGGGCGCTCACTTCTGGAGTTTATAACTGGGCATGAAAGTGGAGCGGACGCCTCAAACAAAGTAAAAGAGGAGATAGATCTGTAAGTTTGATGGCTGCTGGGGATGGAGCCCAGCTGCCGGCCACAGTAGCGGCCAGCCGGAGCGTGGAGAAGGCGCTCGAGGAGGCTGCCGCTAGCGGGGCTCTGAACTTGTCCAACCGAAAACTGAAGGAGTTCCCCCGGAGCGCCAGGAACTACGACCTGTCCGACATTACACATGCAGGTCGGTTTGCTTTTCACTGTTTCCCCTAACTTCCAAAGCAGGACGAGCGAGCTAGCTGTTATGAAGACAGGCGCCTTTTGTTTTATCGCCACCTGCTTCTTTCTTCTAACGGGCAGGGCACCTCTTTCCTCAACTCCGACACATTTCACCAGGCTCCGTCAAACATCCCCGCAGTTTTTGGTCCTGCTGACTGTCAGAACTGTATGCCTTGAAAAGTACGAGTTAAGACGTCTTTAATATCATTAGGACCTACCTCTTAATTCGGCTTATCTATCACGTTCCTTCACCAAAATGCTTTGACTAATAAGACTTGTTAAAACTGGCCTATTGCTGACGTTAGTTGAGTTCCTGTGTGCTCCAGTGTTGCCGTTAGCGTGCGGTCTGCACCAGAGTTTTATATTTCTTTTGAATAGTCCCTGTTTGGTGGACTATATCAAAGTGGAGACTTATTGTGTGGGGTATATTTACTGCTCTCTTTAAGCAAAGCCGTGTGAAGCTCCAGCCTTCTAAAAGAAGCTTGAGGTGTTGTTCCCTGAACTTAAAAGGAAAAAGGAAGAAAACAATGTCAGACATGACAGTTCCTCTTCTGACTGAAGACCTACATTGCCAGTCCTTGAGAAGCTTGCCGATGAGTCGTTTAAGTTTAGAGCTTCATTCCCTAGGTTCATAGATTTTCCTGTTTTGGCACACAGCCTTAGGTGGTTTTTAGTAGCCCACTTTCTGATTTTGACTGATGGGCCTGTTGTGTAACAACATGGCAACCTTCTACTAACCAGCCTCCTGGACCCTCTCTGAATGTGTGTCACTTCATCACATTGAGCTAAGGTGCAAGGGACATTGTAGAAGGCTATAACAACAGAGAGTAAAACCTAAAAGCGAGGTAGGTGTGGATGACACTGTGGATTAAGGGGAACTACAGTGGCCTCGCCTTGTTGAAAAGAGGATTACCCCATCCAGGTTGCTGAAATCAATCTGGCTTCGCAGTGACTTAAAGCAACACTCCTTATCCTCTGCTGCTGCTTTTGTGCTTTGGTAATTATGACCATCTGCTCATAACAACCCAGCTCTGGGCCCTGTGGGATGAGGAGGCCTTGAACACACTTAAACTCGCAGGCACCTGCCGCTGGGGCAGCTCCACCCCAGTGGCTTTGGAAGTGATGAATACATTCCATACCTTCATTAATGCCACTTGATTAAGACGCGTTTATCCAGGTGCAGGTTCTTGGATAAATGAATAATCCAGCTCGTCAGGTCAGTGAAAATGTGGTTCTCAGAGTTGGGTTTAAAGAGGCATTGTGCTGATTATACACACTGATCAAAAATTATCAACGCAACACTTTTGTTTTTGCCTCCATTCATCATGAGCTGAACTCAAAGATCTAAGACTTTCTCTATGTACACAAAAGGCCCATTTCTCTTAAATATTGTTCACAAATCTGTGTTAGTGAGCACTTCTCCTTTGCCGAAATAATCCCTCCACCTCACAGGTGTGGCATATCAAGATGCTGATCAGACGGCATGGCTATTGCACAGGTGTGCCTTAGGCTGGCCACAATAAAAGGCCACTCCAAAATGTGCAGTTTCACTGTATTAGGGGGGTTCAGGGGGGTCCGGACCCCTCTGGTCCACTCCTCTTCAATGGCTGTGCGAAGTTGCAGTCAGGTCGAGACCCCAATGAGGACGTCGAGCAAGCAGATGAGCTTCCCTGAGACGGTTCCTGACAGTTTGTGCAGAAAGTCTTTGGTTATGCAAACCAATTGTTGCAGCAGCTGTCCAGGTGGCTGGTCTCAGACGATCTTGGAGGTGAAGATGCTGGATGTGGAGGTCCTGGGCTGGTGTGGTTACACGTGGTCTGCGGTTGTGAGGCCGGTTGGATGTACCGCCAAATTCTCTGATATGCCGTTGGAGATGGCTTATTGTAGAGAAATGAACATTCAATTCACGGGCAACAGCTCTGCTGGACATTCCTGCAGTCAGCATGCCAATTGCCCACTCCCTCATAATTTGCAACATCTGTGGCATTGTACTGTGTGATGGAACCGCACATTTTCGAGTGGCCTTTTATTGTGGCCAGCCTAAGGCACACCTGTGCAATATCCATGCTGTCTGATCAGTGTGTGTAAATTCCATTGCAGAGGACAGGAAAAAAGTAAAAATTATTGTTACTTTGGACGGCAATGCCGTACTGTTATTGTTGCCAGTATTCTCTTCTGGCCTCACATAATTTTAGCCGTCTGCCTGAATACCACCTGCTGAAACATAATAGTCTCTCATTTTCTTCTTTTATATTTCCGTTAGTGATGCACTGATCCAACATTTTAAATCCCAATACTGATACCAGTACCTGGGCTTTGGGTATTGCTAGACTGAAACATCGCTTCCTAACTTTGTAAAGCAAAATGCTATGTTAGCTCTGCTAGCAAAATGTTTGGGACTACCAGCGCACTGATGACTCATTGCCTAGTACATGCAGAATTGAATTTAATAGATTAGCCCCCTTGTCACGATAACTGGGCACAGGAAATCCAGTATCGGTATGGATGGATTAGACGCTTCACTGTGTGCATGTAAAAAAACAGATTAAATGCTTTGGAATATGTTAACATGCATCTTATCGGATCACTTTATTTAGCGTCCATATAACAGTTCTCTAATCAATCTCTAATCAGAATGATCAATCGGCTTGAAGAAATCGCCTTGCATTGGCACTAGTATTGATTTCCATGTCATGTCAGGTACAGCTGATCTGCTGTAAGGAAGAGCTGCATTAACAACCAGTTACAGTGACTCAGGCTTTTCTCTGGACATGGCACATTCTGCGGGAGACTTTTAGACGTCAGGACTTCTGATAAATTCTAGAGGGATGTCTAGAAATATTAAACAAATCAAATGGGATGTGTTCATCACTTTAGTTGGCCTTGCCTTCACATTGAACAAGCTGTTGACAGATTCACACCGGCTCGTGGTGACTCATTTGTTATTCAGTCTAACTCTAGGGTTGTGCTCTTCTACAGACCCAATTGTAGACATTTAGTCTCACCTATGCCGTCTCTGTAGTAATGTGGAGTATTTGTGAGATCAGGTGCTCTCAGTTTCACTGAGATTCCAGGTAGTTAAGCTGACTCAGTGACAGTCCTTGCTGATTCACCAAACTGTCATCATGGTTGACAGGTATGGTCTCGCCATAGATCTGAACTAATGCTCATGTAAAGTGAAGGAGGGAAGTATCTGATGCAGCACAGTGTAAGCTCCTTACACTTTCCTTGAGGATCATGATCAAATATTTGGAAAACTGGATTCAGTTTGATATTTGATAATGAAATTGTTGCCTTTTGTGTGATCTTTCTTCTCCTGGACCTAAATTATCAAACAGAAATGACTTTTTCTTGAAACCATGGATGTCTGGTGTTTGGTACATGGCATCCTCTGGGAACATAGCAGCCAGACTGCCATAAAGGTTTAATGAGGAGCTTCTATGGTTGTGTACTGTTCATATTTGAACCTGTACCAGTACATTTGACCTTTTTTACCCTCTCTATTGCTAACTCCGCTAAACACATTTCAAGTTCTTCACGGTAAGAGACTAGTTTGTCAGTGGAAAGCTTTTAATATGAAACTGCAGCTGGAAATCTTTCATCAGCAGTAACTTAAAAATGGCTGTAACAGTTTCCTAAAGCCCAATGTGACATCTTTCAGTGTGTTGCTTTGTCCCACAAAAACCCATAGATATTCAGTTTACTTTGGCATAAGAGAGAAAAGCAGCAGTTTCTCATGTTTGAGAGGCTGTAACAAGGGAATGTGTTGTGTTTTCGTTTGGAAGATTAATTGATCATCAAAATTGTTGCAGATTATTTGTGAGTCTTGTCCTCAAGTCAGCAAATTGAGTTGTAGTCAGCTACATCAGTTATCCATGGTAGATATCTCTTTAATGTCTCTGTGTTGATCATGTCTCTGTGGGACCAATCAGGGAGCAGGACTGCTGCATGATATTTGCACTAACATCATCATGTGTGTGTGTGAACTAAATGATCTATATCAATATTAAAGTACACACAGTATACTGCAATTTCGTATTTGATCTATATCGCCCACTCCTAATTCCTTTGACTCTAATAATTCACTGTTGTTTGCTGTTAGCAAACTTGCAAATCCAGTAAATAACGAGTACAATGAGCGTCCGGTTCAATTCTTTCTTAGCTGACTAGTGTAAAAGTCCAGTATTCCCTCCCTTTTTACTCTAGCTTTATCTTGGTTTCCACTAAATCCTAAAGGGGAAAAGCTCTACAGCCGCTAAATGTTGCACTTTTTCCAGCAGTCACTTGTTTTTGCTGTTTTCTAGTGTTGGTGCTGGACAAGTAGCGTGGTAACTGAATCCTATATAATTACACTGAGAGTAACAATCGGTGTCAGCTAACAAGGGCTGCAGCTAACGATGATTTTAGTATCCGAAGCTTCGATAGATTATTTCAACGATTCATCGATGCGTCGTTTAAGAAGTACTTTTGCTTGGCGGCGGCGGTAACGGGATCAGCTGTGCTTTATAGGTGATATTTATTAGTCCTTTCAGAAATTCATAGTGTGTCATACAGCAAACATCAGACCAACAACCAGACAGCTGCTTTACAAACACAACATCAGGTCTCCAAACCACGTTTTGTCAAGAAAACACACGTGAAACGGGAAACGAGCACACGCAGGTAGCAGGGATTGTCTGAGCTACAGAGAGCTGCAGGGGAGTTAAAAGGTGCAGCTCCCCGACACCCAGTTAACTCCTGACTGTGAGGTTCCGACTCACGGCCCAGAAAGGAGAACAACAAACGCACGTGCACATTTTCAGCTGAGGACTGCGGCTTACTTTTGCTAGCCTTCAACTCAACAATCAATCAGGATTTCAGCTAAATGCTAAAGTTGCTGTTACCTTGTCTGTGGTCCGCTGGCAGAACACCGGCTGCTTTCTGATCAGGTGCCGTCGTGCTGTTGCCGAGGCGACACAAGTTTCG